AAAGCCAATCATAACCAAAAAAAGAATTGAAAACTTCTTCATTTTCTAAACAGAAAAATAATCGTACATACAAATATTCAAACAGAAAACTCTTTCTATCTACTTTAGAAGCTTCTTATCGCAATTGCTCGTTTATGTATCTAGAAAAGAAATACTATTGACGTATTTGTACTCTTTAATAATTGCTCGAAAAAAACAAAAAGAAATTCTAACTGACGATTATTCATATTATCCTAGGAGGGTAAGAAAAGTGTCGATTAATATAAGTGTTGACAAACTTTTATAATATCCCTATCGGTATCTATATCATTCATCTTTTTTATTTGATGAATAGTTATCAGCACATGAAAAAAGACAAATGCTATAGGATATAATTTCTTTTAGATTAAGAAAAAGAAAAAAATACAGAGACCTTTCCATAAATATAATAGTTCCTCTCGATAAGACATTATAAGAATCATCTTCGTAGTAGTAAAATAAAAGCAAAACAGCATTACAATATATTTGTATTTGCAAGATTTTCAATATGAATAAACTCTTGGCATTTATGATTTGTGCTATTTTTATTTTTTCTTTCGTTCATCTCGCTCATGCTGATGATGAAAGTGACAACAACGAATATGGTATATCATTTTTTTTCTTTTATTCGATGTTATATTGTATTAGTTTTGACTTGGTTTAGCTCCCGATGATGCACAACAATTTTTACAAAAACGTCTTTTTGGTATTCCGTTTCCTCGTGAACAACGTCGAGAAGCGAAAGAAAAATATGAAGAACGGTACGTCTACAAAAATTATTTTTGAATGTTTTATACTTGATAATTATATTTAGATGTGAACGTGCTTTGGGTATTAATAAAGTAACTGGTCTTCAACGATGGTGCCCAAAACTTGAAGTAAGACAATAAAAAAAAAAAGAATTTATGTATATAAAATCTGTGAATATTCTAATTAGGAATGGGATCAATGGCGTGCAGCAACACAAAATGATAAACGACGTGGCTAAATGAATATCCTGGACAATTATACAGAAAAACATTTTATATTGCTTTTCAAAATTAATTTTAAGAAATAAAATTATCTTTTTCTTATTAATCGTGCTTTTTTTTACTCAAATACTTATAATTTAAATATTGTGAATTTTATTTTATAAAAATTTCAATTTTATCACTTCGTTTTTCAGGCTACATTGAAAAAAACGAAAAAACTTCACATCATGTTAATATTATGAAAACAAAGAGGTTAATAAAACTTGCAATTATTTACGAAATAATGAATTTTCGTTTTGTTCAATTAATATTGTTCTAAATGACAAAGAAAATTGTCTAGTATAACTGTCAAAGGATCATTGATCACTATGCAGTTCTCCGAAAATCATATGATTCGTGAGGTAGTCCCAAAAACATTAACTTTGATTCCATAATAAAGACAAGGAATTCAATAACTGTTTACGTGATCGGAATATATCGGAATTATAGACGAGAATAAAGTTTTCGATCTAATTTTTTATAGCAAAGTTTTTTTGAATGTAAACACAATCGTAAGATAATATAAGTTTCGCATTTGAGAGAGAAAGAGAGACGATTATGAAACATGATCCAAAAAGGATGTTGAAGTATATAGGTAGATCGAGGTCTTGAAAACATCATCAAGAAAATGACGAGGATTTGAAATAGTCAAAAATCTGATTATGAGATTTTGGAGCGGTCTCTAGCGACAGGAACGAGAAAAAAAAACTTGTGTAATCTTATGAATCATATTCTTGATGATAATTATTATCTCACAAATAGTTCTTTATACGAAATAAATGTTTCTTTTTAGTTTTTATATACTTGTTTTAATCGTAATAATATAAAAGAAAATACGAGCAAAAAAAAATGAAACAGATATGTGTCGTGCATTAAGTCAGGCTTCTAACAAAACAGAAAGCCAAGAAATAAATACAGACACACATATACATAATATCACGATGAAATGACAACAACAGTCAAACAAAAACAAACAAACGTGTAATAAAAAACGATAGATAAAGACTTTTTTTTCTTAATGTCTATAAGATCAACCAGAAAAGATAAAATAAAAGTAGGGGATGAAAAAAAAAAGATTTAACTGTTTTATTTTATTCTGTTTGTTTTTCACCATCTATTTCTTTAGTTTCATTATCACATGATGGTAATGGTTTTTCTTCAGTTTCAGTTGTCGTTGCTTCTTTTTCTTTATCTTCATTTGTAGTTTCATTTTCAGTTGTTGTTGGTTTTAATTCATTTGTATTTGTTGATAGTATTCCTTGAAATTAAAAAAGATAATAATAAACGAAAAATATTCTTTTATAAAACGTTCTATATACCTTCACTTTTTGAATTTTGATTTCGTTGTTTACGTTGTCGTGAATTACGACGTTTTTGTTGTCCTTTATTATTTCTTGGTGATTTCGTTTGTTTACCATTACGTGTTGGTGTTAATGGTTTATTATTACTTCGTGCTTGTTTTGAGAAATTATTTATACGATGATCATCACGAATAAAACCATTATCATTACGTCCATAACTAATGGTTTACAAAGAAAAACATTTTGAAAAATATATTTTAGCAATTTTTTTTTATTTTACCGAAATTCACCACGTTGTTGTTGCGAATACAATGATTGTCTTGATCGTGCATATGGACCTTGCCATTCATTAAGATCATATGATGGTACTATATCAAATGGAATATAACCATCATCTTGATACATCATACGACGACGTGGACGATTCGAAACTTGTCCTTGTCGAAACATTGAACCATATGAATATGAATCATAATAATTATTTAAACGTTGCTAAAAACACAAACAAGATTTTTTTGTCTTTAAATTAATTTTAAAAAAATAAATTCTTCTATAATTACACGTGGTCCAGAATAAGCAGCAGTTTGACCAAAAGTTCGATTTGGTCGTTGATATAATCGTTGACGCGTCATTGATTCAGGCCATACATTATTATTTTCTACATCTTCCCATTGATCATCATAATAACCTTGTTGTCGTTGTGAACGCCGAGGAGCAACTGGACGACGGCGACGATTATTATTGTTGTTATTATTATTTGATGAACGTGATTGTTGTTGAAGACTATTTGTTGGTACTTGTTTAGGTTCAAAACGTTTTGGTAAAATAGCATAAGGAATATGTGGTTGTGCAGCCATTTGATCAACAACAGTTATTTGTTGTTGTGCACCACCAGAACGTGTACGACGTCGACGATTTGAATCATTTGTTGGTCGATAATTTGGTGAACAAGGTATATCATTCCAACCAGACAAAAATTGTTGTTGTTGTTGTTGTTGTTGTTGATTAAATGAACGACGACGATTACGATTACCTTGTAATTGTCGTTGAGATGTTTGCTAATAGGAAAATAACATAATGATAATAGATCAAGTTTGTTTTTGAATATATACATATATATAATCAAAATAAATTCTTACTTGTTGATTATTATCTGATCCATTACCACGAATAATTGATAAAATAGCTGAATCTGGTTCAATCGTTTCGCCACTAGTTGTTGATGGTCGTGATTTAGAACGAATGGTTACACGTTCCATTTGTGTTGTATATGATTGTCGATAATTATTATGTTGTCTTGATATACCATTACTTGCTGATAATGATGTTTTATCCATAAATGTAGCAAGAAATGCATCATTTGTTAATGGAGCTAAATCTCGTGGATTAAGTCCAGTATTTGAAACAGCTTGAGTGCCAACATTTACCATTATGCGAGGTCCAAGAGTATCCATTAAAATCGAAAAATTTTCAACTTGATATGTACTTAGAGATGAAACGATATAAATATACCTTTTCTTTTTTGTTTTTATTCGTGAATGTATGTGATATGTATATGTTCGATCTGACAAATGAACGATGGAAATAACGATGGAAAGAGACCGAAATATATAGAAAGAGAGATAAAGAAGAGAATAAACGAATCTTTTGTCTATTGTTGCTTTCGAACCTCTACGTCGAACTAAACAATGAATATATAACAAGATGTTTTACTGCACATGGCCTCGATACGGACAAAGTTAGAGCATATCGAGGTCCGATTATGATATCGTAAACATTAACAGACAATAATAAAGAATAAATTATTTGAATACGAGAAAATTATATTTTTGAATATTTTATTGACTAAAAAATTCTTCTTGTATAAAAATGACTACATCAATTATAAAAATTGATAATTTGATGAAATTAAATAATAATTTAATCTTTTATTTAATTAAAATTTGATTGAAGCAAATTAACTTCATAAACAAAAAAACAACCTAATTCTTTGTTTTCGCTCTTTTCATTAAATACAAAGAAAAATAAATTGTTTTGATATTATTCATGACACAAAAGGCAATGTTTTTCTTTAAAGTAACTAAATATACATCCCTGATATTACAAGCTTTCTATTTACCTGACATAAACATTTTAATCCACGATATAACTGATTGACATATACGGATTTAATACAATCACAAAGAAAGCAAAAAACATGCAGGCGTTTTATAGTGTTCTTTTTATCAATTTTGTATTTTTCGTTCATGGACAATTAATAAATATCAAAACAAGTAATCAATTAAATCTTTGAACTTCAATCGATGTTTACTTTGTACATTCTATAGAAACGGTAAATAATTATTGCAATAACTTTTCGAATCCATGTAAGAACGGGGCAGCATGTATTTCAATATTTCCGAACGGTTTTCTGTGTAAATGTCCACAAGGCTTTACAGGCAATCTTTGTGATTATCCTAGAAGTATCGTTTAAAAAGATCTTCATTTAACGCAAAAACTTCTTTTAATTTTTTTCGAAGGTATTAGCAATAGTTGCCCAAGTAGTCCGTGCAAAAATAATGCATCATGTATTACAATACCCGGTGGAGGCTTTCAATGCATTTGTCGTTCAGGTTTCACGGGTACTCTTTGTGAACAATCTACCGGTAGCCTTTTTTTTCTTTTACAAAATATGTTATTTTCAGAAATATTTGATAATTTTTTTGTTTCTCTAGGTATGACTAATTCGACTGCCTGTCCAATTAATCCATGTTTCAACGGTGGATCGTGTCAAACAGTATCAGGTGGTGGTTTTCGATGTATATGTCGTTCCGGTTTTACAGGAAATCGCTGTCAATTCCCCACTAGTATCTTTTCAAATAGAAGAACTCTAAAAAA